GATTTCTTTACTGAAAGAGTGGTTAAACATTGGAGCAGGCTGCCCAGGGAAGTGGTTGAGTCTCCATCCCTGGAGTTATTTAAAAGACGTGTAGATGAGGCGCTTAGGGACATGGTTTAGTGGGCATGGTGGTGTTGGGTTGAGGGTTGGACTCGATGATCTTAGAGGTCTCTTCCAACCTTAATGATTCTATGATTCTGTGATTCTATGTTCTGATCTCCGTTACATTGGAAGTAGCTTGAGAATTTACCGGCTCCGAGATCTGCCTGACATACCGTTCTGTTAGCTTCTGAGCGCTGAAAATGTTCCTTCCAATCTGTTTACCTGGATCAATATCAGACATTCATTTCTTTTCAAATTTTCTGATGGAAAAACGTGAAAGCCTGTGAAATAGAGTTATGGATTTTTTTTATCTATCTCCAATGATATTATTAGTGATCATGGAGACTTCTCCCAAGTACTCTAACGCATCCAGCTAGCTGAAATCCTGAATACTTATTTTGTTGCCTATAGATTCAATTAAAATCTGAAATCATTGTTTGAAAGCACTGAAGATGCTCTTTAGAAAAAAGGGAACTTAAAAAACTGTGTAAGTCATGGGAACAGATCTTCGGATGAATAACGTAGAAGACTCTAAACCCACCTATCTATTCCCTGAGGCAGTTGTTACAATGCTGCTGTGGTCAAACAGAAACACAGCTGTATTTTCAACAGCAAGATTCTCCTTTTTTAATCACAGCAGCCACCCTAAACCCGACCAGGTGAGACAGCAGAGGAGTGTGCATCAACACTAGCCAAGACACCAGGTTGTTCAGAAGCATCCATGCTACCCGGGCTGCTGGTGGGGTTGGTGTGGGCAGACAGCGATGCCTGTCCTCTGCCCAGCCTGATGTTTCTGGGGGCTTTAGCAGTTCCCAGGCCCAGCTGGTGGACACCTGAAGTTTGCTGCTGTTGTGTCAGATCTGAAGAAGAGCAGAAGCACCTGAAAGCTTTTTTTTTCCCAACCGTATCAGCCAGTCTAATGAGATACGGTATCTAGGGTGGAAATTTGCTTCACCTTGGGGAAAGGGGAAAAAAGGGTTTGGGGAGATTTATTGCAAGCAGAGGAAACATCCCCCTTTCTCATTTTCTTACCCTTCCTATTTTCTGAAACAGCAAACTTTTCTTTAGCAAGATATAGAGCATACCGTATTTTGTATCTACTGCAAGATGGAGAGCTGTAACACTGTGCAATTAAATGTCCCAAGTAGGCAAAGTAATACTGAACCTTTGACAGATACTGCTTAGTGCAATGCAGCTCCAAGTTCAGTGGCTTTTTTTAAAAATGCAAACATAGCTCATATGTACCCTTTTATCTTGCAAAGAGATTTCATTTTTCTTTTCCTCCTCGCTATGCTTCACACTTACTGATCTAATGGCAATGGGTAATTTCTTTTTACAGTGCTGCTCAAAATTTATTAATTAATAACACTGGTCACAAGTCCTCCCGTTTTGCATAGCTGATGTATATTTCGCTAAAATACAGGCATTTTTATGGCATAGAGTGATGAGGAGCCTGATGTGATTATGTAAAACCTTGCATCTAAACCAACTTGTGGTCCTGCGTAGATCGTAGAAGGCTTATTTCTCAAGGGACACACTAAAGAGGTTTGGGTGCCCTTTGAAATTACAACGGACAGAAGACAGAGGATTTTTGTCAGCTTCGTGGGCAACAGGGGATTACAGAAAATGGTCGTAAACTTTAGTGTCAGCTTGGTTGTTTTAGAACGCTAAAAGTTAAAAACAGCAAAATAAGCAGAAGGTAAAACATCTTCTTTTTCCCACTTAATGTTTTCTTATGTTGCTGTTGGTAGGAGTTTGTTTGGCATGAATATAGCAGATGTGACAGTAATTCATAGTTCTTAGTGCATTTTGCACCACATTTTTCCTCCTTTGAAGCACAAGTTTTAATCTACTTTATAAAGTGATATGTGGATAGTAGATAGAGTTTACAGATAATCACATGCTATTTAGATTGCTCAAAGGGTTAATATGAAAGCTGTCATGCAAGTCTGCCCATATGTGTGAAAAAATTAGTAAGGTATATGCTAAGAAAATAATTTTTAAAATTTGCACTGATTGAGGGCATTTTTAAAGGAAACATTGAGCAAGAGAAAACTAATCTTGAGATCTTTTATCACTATGTACAATTGTATATGTATATTAGTAGTTAAAGGGATGACATATTTTAGCAGAATCAGTTTTTTAGAGAAGAGATTGCGATGCATATGGGTAAAGGAGTGGGAAAAGTGAGGTGCTGAATTATAGCGAGAGCTGAATATGTAAGTTTATCAGCACAAGAGTAACCAGATAAGCATTAGATGCTCCCATGCTTTTCATGAGAAGAATTCTATACCCAAAATTAAAGCAAAAGTAATTTGATGATTGCTAACAGTTTGCAACAGGACTTTTGTTAGATCTGTTTGCCCAGCAGTAATTATGTGACTAAAACATCTCTTTGGAGCTAGAAGATAACGACATGTAGGTGCTAAATGAAACTTCGTTTAGTGGCTGCAGCCCAGCACTGTGAGGCCAGCCCTGGCCAGCCCGTCAGCAGTGAGCCTCTGCTCTCTGTGCTGGTTCCTACCACAAATTAATATGAATTCATCAGCAGATGGTAGAAGTTACAGCAGAGGCAGAACAAAGTCAGAAGCTGACTTTTATTTAGCCAAATGCAACATGCAATCCTAGTGAAGAACTGCTGCTAGCAGGCAGATGAGGATAAAACTGGTAAGTAAATGGTTAGGGCAGAGCTAGAGAGGACAGAATTAAGCCTTTTCTGTCTGTGTGTCTGTTTTTTGCCGATAACCTAGAGGCACCTTTTCCCTTGCTGTTGCTCAATGAGGTAAGACATTGAGAAACAGTTGTTTTGCAGCTTATGGGGGTGGAGGAGAAGCGTTTTATCAGGGAAGCTGAAATGAGTCCCAGGGACTGGAGACCATGTGTAGTGTGAGATAGCAGGGCAGCAGCATTCATGTTTGAGAGCCATGAGGTTTCTGGGTTGGCCTTACTTTCTTTTCCAGTGACATTTTGGGCCTTAAGGAGGCAGAGAGCAGTGAGATGATGCTGTGGGCTCTCCCTGACTTCTTGCGGAGACTCCCTCCCCGCCACAACACTCCCTTGATTGAAAAAAATAGACAATTCGGTCTATGGACACAAATAAGTCTGGATTACACACAAATGGGAACACAATTTTGCATCAAGTTTTTTTTTTTTTAATGTTTTCTAAGGACTGGCAGAGGAATGCTTCATATTCAAGCCACCACATAAGTCAGCACTTTCACCTCCTAGAGTTAGTCACTGTCTGAGAGGCAGCTGGTCAGCTTATGGCAGGACACACATCTACCCTCCGTGAGCATCCCGGGTCTGAATGAGTATCACTGTGGGAACACATCAGTGAGAAGAGAAGGGGGGGGGTGTGCCACTGACCGCAGGGGACCAGTTTTATGGACCTGTTGCATTTGGGGGCTGCCAATCTAGGCAATTCAGATTTGTTTATAAAACATATTTAAAAGCTGAAAATAAATAAAAATGACTCAGCTCTACAAGAGGAGGGTTAAGTAAAACAGGGACAAGTGAAAAGCAGGAAGAAACGTAAAAGTGCTACAAATAATAGGAAATATTGACCACTCAGATATTTGTTTGCAAATTAAAAAGAAAAGTGCTATGTGCTTTGTAGCAGAAAAAAAAGAACAAGACAAACTGATGATAATAGAGGCCATCTTTACTAAATGACAAATCATTCCTCCTAGTTATCTTCAAAAAAATCTCGCTGTAGCAAAACTGCCATAATCAAATTGTCTTTTGAGACTAATTTGCCTGGGATTAGCAGGTTCGGGGTTTTCTTTTGTATTTACAGTCATACCTTCTCAGAGAACTCAGAAAGAAAACTGAATATATTAATATGATTAAAGACTTCTGTTGGCAGTCCACTGTAGATTTCTCTGCTGAATTAAAGAAATCAAGGCCATGCCTTTAAGCTACATTCCTTTCCTCCTATGTGTCCATCTACTGTTTACATTACTTTCAGCTCCTTTAAGCTGGGATTTTTCAAAATGAAGCACTGTGCATATTTGCAGAGCATTCAAATGGCTCTTGATTTAATGTTCTCTATTAAAGGCATGCGTTAGCATACGCTAATCCTTCTTTCATCTTTTTTTTTTTCCAGACAACTGAAACGTGACTATCCCAGCGCTGTAGTTCTTAGTACTGATGACTTTTTTATTGAAAATGGTGTATACATGTTTGAGCCTGACTTCCTAGAGGATGCCCACAAATGGAACCAAAAGAGAGGTGATTGAAATCGAGCCAGGGGTTTTGCAGAATAGTTTCTCTTTTCAGTCTGTTTTTAAACTTAGCCCCCAAAATAAAATATCTCAAAGTGGTGTCATACACTGAAGTTCACGGGGTACTAGTTAAAAGAATACATTTACCACTCTGATTTTATTTCTTCCGACTTATAAGAATTTATAAATGAAAAAATGTTGCTGATTGATAGTTGTTATTTTAGAAAGTAAACCGGTGACTATTAGGTAGCACTGCTGAAGCTTGGTAACAGCAGGTGGCATGCGAATACCAGCCCAGCAGCTGCTCACTACAGCTCTACGCACCACTTCCTTCAGAGTGTAACTTCTTAGATGTCTGTCCTGACTTGGTATGGGGTGTTACCGGGGGGTGGGGGGGGGGGCGATAGCCAGGAGGAAAACTTGCAAACCTAATTAGAAGTTTGAGATTGAAACAACCCAGGTGTCTACTTCAGAGAGAGAAAAATGTAACATGCTTCTGTGCCTGTGCTCGGAACTCATTTCTAGCAATGGAACGCACTTTTGAGGTCAGATGACATCTTTTGCAAAGAACAGTAAATTTTAGCTGTTGTAAATACCTAGTGCTGTGATACCGCTAAGTATGTTCTACGAGAGGTTCAGATCTTACTACTGAGCACAGCCAGCAGCTGCATCACCTCCTCCAGGAGAGCCCCTGCTGGGCACTGACCTCTGCTCGTGTTCGGGTGATAGCTACAAACCCAAGTCCAGAGGGGAACCAAGCGTGCTAGCAGTAGGCAAAGAAAGGACGCTTTGGGGCTAGCAAGACCTGGCTCGGTCTGTTATTTAATATGTGTTAGCTTTACTTAATGTGTTACATTACAGCACACAAGGCAATGAAGAATGGGAAAAGCCCGGTTATTATTGATAATACCAACATCCACGCTTGGGA